GTGGTACTGTTTCTCAACAATCATTAGCTGATCGATCATTGAGGTCTAAAATGTGTTAAATGCATTTCTTTACTGATAAACTATTTACTAAACCACTTGTTTTTAATACTGAAAACTTAATTGTTCATATCCGCTAGCTTGTGGCCTTCTTCCTGCCTTTACTTTCATGGGCGGATTGCTGCCACCTGTCAGTCAATTGAATAGTGTGAAACCACTGGCAGAAACATGTGTGTGTGCATGAGATACAAACAAGATGGGGACCAACTCATCAAAACATTGCTCTGATGTGATACCAATGGTCAAAACTCCACAGGTCAGCTTTAAACTGCAGCCATACCATACTGTAATTGAATCCTGCCGTTAGCCACATGCTATAGCTGCAAAATCATCAGTGCCTACCGTTTCCATCACTGCTCTTTCTCAGAGAAAACACCACAGCCAGGATAACCACCAGTAAGCACAGCAACAGAACCTACAATCCAGAGAAAAAAAATGTCAGGATGATTGTTACTGGTACTGAAGATAACAGTTCACAAATCACTTGCAGCTGTCAACAAACATGACTGAAGATGCTTCGACTGAAGTCTTGGCTCTGGTGACTAGCTGGTAAAAGAAATGAGAGGCAAAAAACTGCACAAAGTCAAACACACTGTTGAAAAATGATCAACAATGTTTTTCAAATAATGTGTTATTGTTACAAATGATGATTCCATATAGATAGAGGTAACAACATTTAAACTCAATGTAAAGGAAATCTGAACAAAAAATAATTAGATTTCACCAATATTTTGAATGATACTGTGGTGAAAATGGCTGTGACAAAAGACTTATTCTACTGGCACTTTGGACACACTCTAGTGTCAGCTACATGCCTTTTAACCAAAATATAAACAAACTGCAACAGATTTCTGGCTCCTTGAGAGAAGCCATAAATCAGGACATTCTGCAGAATCAACAGGATTCGTGTTTATGAACACTAGCAGCATTGGCTCTATACATGGTAATGTTGGCTGTTTCAGTCCAGACTCAAATATTTCAAGTTTTAGGTGGACTGCAATTAAACTGTGTACAGTAAATCATGGTCCCCAGAGGATATACTTCTGACTTTGCTGATTTTCTGTAGGATCACCAGCAGGTCAATGAGTCTGTAAATCCCTTGTACAGACACTCATGGTCCTCGAAGGATTAATTGTAACAGGTCAAATCTTCCAAATTTGTTAATTTGTCTATTCATTGATTAATTAATAAAACATTTTTAGGATAAAAGGCATTGAAGTGCTGAGCTGCTGAAGTTGGATTGTTATTTATTTCCTTAATCCTAGCCAGTGATTTTAATCATCTCCAACTGTTCAAATGTTGGTCTTGGCCCTCTGTAGATGATAGTCAAAGAAAGACGGAGGCCTAACTGCCTCTTTATAAGCTGCTCGGCTCATCTCTGCCCAGAGACGGCTGCCAACTGGTGGGGAAAGGTTAGTAAGTAATCAAATCAAAGGAGTCTGACCCCTTATATTTAACCTGGGACCATTAGGAACCACTGCTGTAAGTGTAACTGTATGACACTGACATACACCTCTGAAAGCAAGGGTTAAAGACAAATATTAACTTAGTCAGCATTACTTCTGTGTTTGCCGTAACCTTTTCTGCTGGAAGATTCCCATTCCCTCACAGGAGTCAAAACATTTTAATATTATCTCAAGTCAAAACAACCACTGAAGTGTCATTTTATTTAGCTTTTCTGTGCATATCTTTTCACCTGTGTTGAAATATATCTTGTTTTCACTTGTACAGTGTAATCCTCTTTTTTTTGCCCCAAAGCAGATGAACTTATCTCCGTTCAGTTTAACATTTAAAATAAAGCCATATAGGCAGCAAGTTTATTTGTGTCTGATATTTTGATTTGCTGTAAGACAAATACAGCCCTCTGACACAAGTAATTAAATTTTGATTAACATACACAAGAATTCCTAGATGGGTATGAAAATATGCTGCTGTGTGCGTGCGGTGTCTGGGTATGAGCACTTATTTTCTCCAGCTATAGGTGAAGAGAGAAAGAGACCTGGATTTGACAGGCACCTTGGGAAAGACGTGGTATTTGTGGGTTGTGAAAGTAAACGGTCTGTCTAGTGGAAACCTACACGTCTGACTCTGAAACCCACTACTAACTACAGCTTTGTCTCTATTGTCTCTACAGAAATAAAATGTCTGCCTAAGGTCACCAGTTTGAAAAACGAATGAGTAACTGTCACATTAGAGTGAAAAACTGTCTTGACTCCCAAAATGTTGCAATCATTCTTTTGAAAAACGCTGTGAAACATGTCCCAATATCAATATTATTAACAGATGTACTGCGGCTGAAATGTGACAGGACAGAGCAGATTGTTGTCTAGACTTCGCCATATGTGTATTTAATCAGTTTAATCAGCTGAAAACACCTCTTCCTGAGGATCCAGCTATAGTTTGCTTGTATAGTTAGAAAGGTGTGACACAGTTTTACTTCAGTGATGAGGTAGATTAGTAATCATACAGCTACATACAGTATTTCACTTAGAATGTGCCATTTGGCCTAATACGATAAAAGTCTTCTGATACAGCTCCAACCACAGCTCCACAAAAACAGTATTTAATACATGTAATTATATATTTCTTTGCAATTCTTTCAATTATGGTTTTAGGCTACATGTAAAGTCCCAAATGTATCCCAGATTTAGTTTCTCTGCAGAATATGTGTGGTTTGTCTCAATGCCTCAAGGAGCTGTGAACAATAACAGCTGCTGTTGTTTCGTAGACTTTTCCTCTGTGTCAAGAATAACCTTTTGGGGAAGACAAACAAAACAGTCATTCTAATGTCCAAACAGATTCTCAACCAGGTCATAAGATAGATAGAGGCACTAAGGGAAAGGCAATTTGGCTCGATGTTTGCTGACTTTCAGCAAGTTTAAGTCCAAAAGCAGCAGTATTTGCCTTTAAAAACCTACTATAGTATCTCCAAGGTAAACAGGATAAAAAGGTGTTATGTCTATGATATGAATATACCACCAACTCCACATGTTATGCAAATAACCTTACAGTGCCATATGTACAATGGGAACTGATACTCTGACCTTAGCCTTACCTCTCACCTTAGTGTGCATATATGTCAAAGCAAAATAGACCTGCAGTGTTTAACTGGTTAGTCATTCGAAAGAAATGTATCAATAACTATTATAACTGATTAGTTACATTATTTTTGATTGTCTTTTCTTGATCTTACTTTAGAGTAAATTGAATATTTGCTGAGTTTCGGGTTGTTGGTCGCGCAAAACAAGCTATTTGATGAAAACATATTGTACCCTAGTATATATATGTGTATCACCATCAGTCATCGTTAAAACTACACTTCTCTTTCTAGTGCATGTGTCTGCACCAAACCTTCAGCTGAAACTTTACTCTTTTGGATCAGCACTGTGGTGTAAAAAGGTCCGGTCCTGCTTTACACTACTGTCGATCATCTCCACCTGCAGAGACACTTCTGGCCTCTGTCTGTTTGCACTGAAGTGATAACATTTTGTTTCCACTTTCACACTGGCAGCACTGACTGTCTGGGCTGTTTGACAGTTGTGAATGAATTACACTGAGAATAAACAGTGTAGAAAGGTAGACGTGAGGCTGTGGTATTTCATTCCCTAGGAGTAATGCCTTTGCCTTATGAAGTCAGAAACTGTCACAAGAGCTGAAACTAGTCTTGTCACGGTTTGGTGTGGGTGAGGCAGGGTTGAGCTGGTTGGAGGACCCAAACGCTGGACACGAAGGCTAGCTGGCAGTTCAGTGAAGGTTTTTAATATAACGAAAGGCGAGCACACTTACAAACAGAGTGGCTGATTGACTGAGTCCAAAAACAAAGGCTGTCCAACAGAAATCCAAAAGGGTGAAAACCAGAATCCAAAACTGAGCAGGGTAACAGGGAGACACTGTGAGTAAGGCTGGAGACACGAGAACAAACTGCAACACTGGGTGACAATAAACAATGACCCAACAAAGACAAGACACAGGTATATATACACACACAGGGACTAAGGAGCAGGGCGGGAGCAACACAGGTGAAAGACATGAGGCTAAGGAGGCACAGGTAGGGAGAGAGAGAGAGAGCAGGGGAAAACAGAGACAGACATGCAGAGGGTTCACTGGGGTAACAGACATGACAAGGGTTACCGAATACTAGACGAAAGACAATACGGACCCCCAAAACCCAAAAGACCAAAATAACGCTAACTAAACACAAAAGTGCAAAACACCGCATGGCAGACAGGCAGAGTGTGACAAGTATTTTCATTATCATTTAGTCTGCAGATTACTTTCATGATAAATTGCTTAATCTTTTAGCCTTTTAAAATGCCAAATGTGTAAAAGCTTTCCATCAAAACACCACAGAGCCCAAGGTCAGATTGTTTGTTGGACCAAAAGTCCTAAAAAAAACAAAAACGTTAATATTTGACAAGCCCCAATCGTCTGGTTTCAGAAGCTGAAACCTGAGAATGTTTGCCATTTTCCTGACTATTTTTGCTTGAAAAAAAGACTGAAACAATATCAAAATTACTGCTTTTTGGTCCATCAACGAATCGACTAATCGTTAACTATATAGTCAGTACTCTTTAAGAGAGTTTATGGACACATTTTAAGACACTAAGACACTATGGAGCCTTTTAACGATACAGAAGATAAAAATGACTATTTCCATTAGGTATACTGATGCACTATGTATAATTTTACGTGAGTATTAGAGTTGTTGATAAGATAGTTAAAGGCAAGACCCAGTTTGATTCAGTTTCAGTAAAACACCAAAGGTCATATTTTGCTGCATTGTGACCATATATGCTTCAAGTGGGTTTCTAGTGTTGAGTTAGAGGAGAGTTAGGTGAGCAGACAGAGAGGTAGGTAGGTATTATTGAACGTACCCCAGTTATGATTTTACAGTGGTTTTTCTTCTTCTTTCCCCGCTCATTGTTTCTGCCTTGACTTTCCAGCTCTGGTGTCCCAAATAAAGACGCAGCCTGTTCAGCCGAGCGGTCCTCTCCTTTGGTTACTTCCATGCTGCTGAGCGCTACAAACTCCTGCCAGTGATTTCCAGGAGGAACTAAGTGTCAGGCAGCCCGTCCACTGGTGAGGAGTGTATGCAGTGAGTAGGATGTGACCCCTCTGCTCAAGTGTAGCACCGCCTTTTTTCTTGAAGTCTTAAGCATGTGACTGATCTGAGAGTTGGAGGCTGCCAGGCTGATTAAAGAAATGTGTCATTTCCAGCGTCTGTTCAACAGTAACCTAAATATTACAGGACTTTGCAACTTTGGAAAACAGTTGGAGCATTGAGTAAAAAATGGACAGACTCATCCTGGATATTTATGTATATACGTGTCTATCACGTCCTGTTTCTCAGCTGTATGACAAGAACAAACAGTCAAAGAAGCAGTTAGATGAATATGTAAAGATTCTGTGCAGTGAGTGTTGCCGCCATCTTGTGGTTAGGCTGGACTAAAATGGTTATGAAAGTTTAATTAAAAACACAAAAAAAATTTTGGCAGAGAAAAATGAGTGAATTAGTTTTTGTTTTTCAGTTAAAGTTGTTTCTTCTTCTTCTTGGGCGCAGGGAATGGTCGTATAAAACACCCTGTTAACAAGACAAATTTGAACATCTTAAGTCCAGGGTAAATAGCGCCAAACCCTACATCAATAATTGCAAGAAAGAAAATAATTCTCCACTAAATTTACCTTGTATGAAATAGGAAAAATATTGATTGAATTGCCTTTAATAAATAATACTGATAATTAATAAATATCAATAAGAATTGACATATTTAATTTAATTTTTGTCCTTTCATGAACAGACTGTTTAATAGGAATTACAGTTTTCCTGTTTCACACCTTTACAAAGAAATTCTTATAAACTGAGACTGGATGAAAACACACAAATTGTCTGTTGTTCACCTTCTGATAGGATATGAGAACCTGTAGGCCTGGCACAGTGGCTATCAGAGTAAGTGAGTTTTTTTTCCCCTTTACTGATTTTAGGGGTATTTGCTAAGCTCTGAAATAATATAGTTGTTACATTATATTGTAAAATAAACGCTCAATTTGCAAAATCATATCACAAGTGAGAACAGCGAACAGCTCTTTGTAATTCTGACCCGGCCTCTGTCATGCTGCTGCTCACTTTTTCTTTCCCTCTGTCTGTCTGTTGTGCTCCTCTGCAGGAGAGAGAGAGTAAAGGTGCTTTCAGACCAAAAGCGTGAGTGTTGGGGGCGGTGCGTTTATATACAAAGTCAATGCAAAGACGCGGAGAACCGCTCAAGCGAGAAAGTCGCATGACGCTGAGTCATGATAGCCTATCAGCGTCGAGATTATCCAAACATCACGGGCATCTTCAGAGCATTGTGTGGAGAGGACCAGGCAGAAAATCCGCTGGCCAACAGAGAGCTACTAAACTGCAGGGGAAAGCTGAGGACAGAGCCGGGAGCAGCACTGCAGCTCTTGACAAATAAACACCCGTAGTCTGTCTGGATTATGCTCTGAGAAAACTGCTTTTATTAAATTAGCTATTTACTTTAGTTTTTGGGATTACAACGTTGATTTATTTTCACTGGAGCTTCGGGACAGCAACCTTTGGTGCACATCCGGTTCGAATGTTGTTAGCGTCAGTGGGCACCCAGAGTTGTTGGACTACTACTTCATAGAAAAAACAGTCAAAACTGGACATTGCTCAGAGAAAAGAAAGCGAGGAAGTTGAATTACCTGGTGAATTCATAAAATATGTGTCTGTTGCTTTATTCCAGCTATTGTTGTACTTTACTGTGAACAAGTCAGCATAGCATATCCCTGATCGATCCGAACTCCATTCAGAAAACAAACATTTTAAATGTTGTTGTTCTGCTGTCTTGCTGACAGACCTGACAAAGCATGAAATCATATGTTTAACAAATCAACATCATATTGTTGGTATTTCGGCATGAGATTGATCCGTTTATTGCAATTAAATCACAACAAAATATTTACTTTAGGTAGTAGCCTGAACCATATCACTTGAATTTTCACATTCGCTATTCCTTGAGCTTCTGACAGTTTACGCTACTATAATACTTGGGTTAATCAAATTGTTTGAACACATGTGTAATGGCCAGCCGGTAGTCCCAATATGCCACAACACCACACGTGACATTGCTGTTGAGCTTCATGTACAAGCACAACATATGGATTATATTATAGTCTGCTGAAACTTCAGCTACTGAAAATAAAAGGTTATCACTCTCCACAGACTGCTTCTTGAGTGGTTCTGCCAATGTTTATTCGGGCTTTCTGGAATATCTCAAGCAGCCATGTTTCTGGACGTCACGAGAAGAAGCACCAGGTATGTACTTTAACTTGAACTTCTGGGCTGTTTTTTCCTCTATCTAGAGTGCTTTTATTAAATAAAGTTATCCTACAGGAATTTCTGTGCCTCACGTCCCGCTCTGATCGCCCCCAAAATCATCAACAGCTTTTGTCCCAGCAACAATAGTTCTGAGAAAAACTGTTAACATACACTGAACAAAATTATTAACGCAACACTTTTGTTTTTGCCCCCATTCATCATGAGCTGGCCTCAAAGATCTAAGACTTTCTCCATGTACACAAAAGGCCTATTTCTTCTTCCTTTCTTCTGGCTAAGGCACACCTGTGAGGTGGATGGATTATCTCAGCAAAGGAGAAGCACTTACACAGATTTTGACTGATTTGTGAACAATATTTGAGAGAAATAGGCCTTTTGTATACATAGAGAAGGTCTTAGATCTTTGAGTTCAGCTCATGATGAATGGGGGCAAAAACAAAAGTGTTGCGTTTATAATGTTGTTCAATGTATGTTGTTAAGTGTTTTACCTCCAGTTCCAGTCACCTGAATCCCACAACCACCTGCTTCCCATTATTCCCTAATTAGCCTCAAAGTATATATACCAATCCACTTACTCCTCGCTAGATCCTCCTTTGAGTGTCCTTAAGTCATGTGTTTGTGTGCCTTTTGCCGGTGTCCTGCCTGCCTCTCTGACACAGCAAACACCTTTTTTTGTCCCACCCTACCTGAGTCATTCTCATTATTTCAAACCATGCTACACTAGTGAGCTGTGACACTATGAAAATATGCATGAACAAATACTCTACTCTGAAGTCTGTTATTGTTCTCTGTTATTATTAGATGTTTCTATACATGCTTCATAAATCAATTATGTAAAGTGAGCTTATGCATCATGCAAATTTTGCATGTCATTAAATATCAGTACATACACACATGTAATTTGCTGTTGCAATCCAGTTATCTAGAGGCATCCACAAGATGGTGATGTTGCAACACCATTTAAGTAACCCCAAACTGCCTGTCCTGTGGTAGAGAAATTTTTCATGAAGCTGAAAGAAGTGCTATTAATATAACATATTATACTACTCCTGACAGCTTTAACACAGGCACATTTCAGCACTGTGAGGTCCAGGTTTCCTTCAGATCCAGTTGTGTCCTATGGTGTGATAATGGAGATCACATGTGGCTGGAACTCCTGACCTCTGACCTCTGCCTCGTCCTGCATACATAAACAGCCCAGGGTTTGCTGTTCTCACTGCCGTTTTATCTTCGTCTCCGTGTGTGTGTGTGTGTGTGTGAGTGTCTGAATATGAAAATAAACCTGATTTGCGTGGTGTTATTTTAAGCAATAAGGGTGTGAATGTGCTTGCGTTTCTGGTTGTGGTTACAGTGACTGTGGGACACTGTGTGTGTGTGTGTGTGTGTGTCCTGCTCAGTGAACTGCATGTCTCTCAGCAGATTGTCTCCCTACAGCTGTCCCCAGTCCAGCTGGACTTGACGATATGACCTCTGATGTTGACCTACACATGTAGCACTTACTGTCCTCATCACATGTTCCTCCCGACTTCCAAGAAACACTTTTCATAAGCATATCCCAATCCTTAGGCCTGGCTCTCCCAGTCTGGTCATTTCATGTTTGAATATTTCACTCAGTAAGTGCATTTTATTGCTTCAAAGAATCCTCACAACAAGCAGCTTTAAAGCTGCTGTGCTTAAAGTAATCCCTCTAACTGCAACCCAACACATTTCCCCCTAAGGAGCTTCAAAGTTAGAAAATACATTACTTTTCACCCAAAATGTATATTTCATATATACAATATTTTCTGCATCTGCTTGTTCCAACACTTCACTGAAACTAGTATATCATGTTTAGATCCAGAAAATATTAAAATATGCCATTTCTATGGTTGCACTTTGGCCCCAAACAGAGATGTGTTCAGCATAATTTTATACACATTTTGATGCGACTGACCCCAATATAAGGTACATTTTATGGCTTTCAATACACTTTGAGCTAAGTGGGTTTGTGTTAAAACAACAGGCCCACAGATGAGTCTGTGGGGGTAGAAAAGGTTAAGAGGTCAAATAATATCTTAAAAGCATTTTTTAAACACACTGGCTTTTGCATTTGTTTGTTACTGAATTCCCATACTGTAGTGCATGTTAAATTTAGTTTAAACGGCCTTTGTTATTCTTGAATTTACATTTTCTAATTTATATACTGTCTAGTCCTGAGTAAGTCAGGAAGACTGTGTATATCAAACACATAAAGTTTAATGGTCCTTATATCAGCAACAAGTGGTGCAGTTTTTATCAGTTTTATAGTGATATTATAAAATAAACTGTTCACTGCTGGAAGATTTCAAAGCCCCCAGCAATGCTTGAAGTGAAGTGCTGAATCTTGAACCCAGACCGAGCCCTGACTTATGAATAACACATTGGGGAAGAGCAGCAGCAGGTGTGTTTAAAGACAGTTGTAGGCACTTCTTCCCCATGAGATTTCCTATAGGCGCTTGTAAATTTGCCATGAATTATTAATTCAACATGACATAAACGTCAGCACATTATATGGAAAGCTTCTGTCTCCTCAGACATATCTGTCACTGACAACCTGTCAACCAGGATTTACAGCAGAGCTGAATGTCTTTGGTCTGCTGTTTGCTTTTTTTTAAATGAGCATCTTTCAGAGCTTTTGATATACACTCACCCACAACTTGAACATAAAATAGTGCTTCCCACCTGGTGACTCTGTGTATATACAGTGAGGAAAATAAGTATTTGAACACCCTGCTATTTTGCAAGTTCTCCCACTTAGAAATCATGGAGGGGTCTGAAATTGTCATCGTAGGTGCATGTCCACTGTGAGAGACATAATCTAAAAAACAAAATCCAGAAATCACAATGTATGATTTTTTAACTATTTATTTGTATGATAAAGCTGCAAATAAGTATTTGAACACCTGAGAAAATCAATGTTAATATTTGGTACAGTAGCCTTTGTTTGGTCAAACGTTTCCTGTAGTTTTTCACCAGGTTTGCAAACACTGCAGGAGGGATTTTGGCCCACTCCTCCACACAGATCTTCTCTAGATCAGTCAGGTTTCTGGGCCGTCGCTGAGAAACACGGAGTTTGAGCTCCCTCCAAAGATTCTCTATTGGGTTTAGGTCTGGAGACTGGCTAGGCCACGCCAGAACCTTGATATGCTTCTTACAGAGCCACTCCTTGGTTATCCTGGCTGTGTGCTTCGGGTCATTGTCATGTTGGAAGACCCAGCCTCGACCCATCTTCAATGCTCTAACTGAGGGAAGGAGGTTGTTCCCTAAAATCTCGCAATACATGGCCCCGGTCATCCTCTCCTTAATACAGTGCAGTCGCCCTGTCCCATGTGCAGAAAAACACCCCCAAAGCATGATGCTACCACCCCCATGCTTCACAGTAGGGATGGTGTTCTTGGGATGGTACTCATCATTCTTCTTCCTCCAAACACAGTTAGTGGAATTATGACCAAAAAGTTCTATTTTGGTCTCATCTGACCACATGACTTTCTCCCATGACTCCTCTGGATCATCCAAATGTGTCATTGGCAAACTGAAGACGGGCCTTGACATGTGCTGGTTTAAGCAGGGGAACCTTCCGTGCCGTGCGTGATTTCAAACCATGACGTCTTAGTGTATTACCAACAGTAACCTTGGAAACTTTCAGGTCATTGACCAGCTCCTCCCGTGTAGTTCTGGGCTGATTTCTCACCTTTCTTAGGATCATTGAGACCCCACGAGGTGAGATCTTGCATGGAGCCCCAGTCCGAGGGAGATTGACAGTCATGTTTAGCTCCTTCCATTTTCTAATGATTGCTCCAACAGTGGACCTTTTTTCACCAGGCTGCTTGGCAATTTCCCCGTAGCCCTTTCCAGCCTTGTGGAGGTGTAGAATTTTGTCTCTAGTGTCTTTGGACAGCTCTTTGGTCTTGGCCATGTTAGTAGTTGGATTCTTACTGATTGTATGGGGTGGACAGGTGTCTTTATGCAGCTAACGACCTCAAACAGGTGCATCCAATTTAGGATAATAAATGGATTGGAGGTGGACGTTTTGAAGGCAGACTAACAGGTCTTTGAGAGTCAGAATTCTAGCTGATAGACAGGTGTTCAAATACTTATTTGCAGCTGTATCATAGAAATAAATAGTTAAAAAATCATACATTGTGATTTCTGGATTATTTTTTTTTGATTATGTCTCTCACAGTGGACATGCACCTATGATGACAATTTCAGACCCCTCCATGATTTCTAAGTGGGAGAACTTGCAAAATAGCAGGGTGTTCAAATACTTATTTTCCTCACTGTATCTTGGTTCTCTTTACTGTTTTTGACTTTTATTGACTTTTCATTCTTGCACAAACATTTGTATTACATTTATTATATTT